AAGGAAGGAAGGAAGGAAGGAAGGAAGGAAGGAAGGAAGGAAGGAAGGAAAATAAAATGGTTGAAAGAAAAGGGGAGACAAGAAAAGGGGGAAGGAAAAGGATGGAAAGGAAAGGAGGGAAAAAAAGAAAAAGAAGGGAAAGAAAAGGGGGGTGAGAAAGCAAAGAGGGAAAGAGAAAGGGAGAACAAATAGTAAACAAAAAAGGGTGAGGTTAAGAAAAGAAAAAAATTAAAAGAGAAAGTCAGCAAGAAAGAAAACCTAGAGAATTGATACTCTCCCAACACTAAAAGAACAACCTCAAGTCACTTTTTTTTTTTAAGTCTGAGCCCTTCCTAATAAGATGCCCAGCAGGCTGTGAATTATCCAGCCATAAAACTTCCACTTGCATGTGACATTTGCTGGTAGGAATAAATCAGGGCAAAGAAAAGAGGAGCCGCTTTGGAGTTCAATGAGTATTATCCTAATTCTAAACGTATTAGCAGTGGTCTGAAAGCAGGACATTGTCATCCAGACAGACGGACAATGTTCATAACCAATGGTAATTTGTAGGACGCATAATTTGCTACTACCAAAATAGCACAGCATGTGGGTTTTTTTGCCCTTTTTAGTCTATAGCTGTGCCGTTTCTTTTGGCTTGTTGAAAGAAATCTGCTCTGCACACGCGGAGCAAGAGCTCAGACCTTCAGCAGCTCATAGAAAACAGGTGGCCAGGCATCGGGGGAAATACAGCCTTTTGGAAAAAGCTAATAAAATAAGCAGATGATTATAGAAAATGGAGATGAAACTGGCTTCTCTTTCAAAAACAGAAAGTCAGAGGAAAAATAAGTTCAGACTGAGCAAATGCTGGCTGAAAACGCACCCTGCCACCACCTCTCTGAGTTTTAACAACACCAACAGAGTTTTCACCGAAAATAAAATTAAAAAAAATTAGGAAAAGAATAATCATCCCCTCAGGGCTGACCATCCCCAAGCCACAAAGCTCAGCTTCCCCAGGCTAGCCTGACTGTTGGCTTAACACCAAGCAGGTTGGGGGCTCGGGAAAGTCAGGTTAAAACAGACTTGCTGCCTCAAGACTTCCTCCCTGCCATCCTCATCTCCCCATCAGACAACAGCACGCAGCACTTACATGAGAGTTGAAATTTGGTCAAGTCCCAATCCTTTAACTTTCCATGGGGAAAATGTTAGGAGGTACCTCTCCTGCACCCTCCAGGACCACTCTCTTAAACTGTCGGCTATTTCATAGTGGAGATTCACCCAAAAAAAAAAAAAAAAAAAAGAGAAGGAAAAAAATAAAGCAAAAACCCACCCCAGAAAAATAAATGCCTGTATCCCTAACAGAGCAGCAGGGTGGAGCCAGCACACCCTTATATTTAGCTGCAGGCAAAGCCTTAAAGTTGTAGTGCGTTTATTTTCCATCAAGCACATCCATGTACAAGATAAAAAACTCCCCAAACTCCTGCTATTTGCCCCATTCTGTCTTTCATGGGGCACACTGGGATTGTTATCACTGTTTTATTTTTATTTTCCGAACTCAGGAGCCTTGGGATGGATCAGAAATTTCAACAAGCTCAGCTGAAGTTACCTCAAGCTCAAGTAAGTGCAGTTTCCCACTATCCTGGGAAAATAAATTACCAATTTTACTTTTTTTTTCTTTTTTTCCTTTACAGTGGAAAAAGGTAGTTACCAGGCATAAATCAGAGCTCATATTTAGAAAATGCTCCATGGGCTGAGCGGTCTCAAAGGCTGTGAATCCATTCCCATCCCTACCTGCCCCAGCAGAGCTGGGTGGAAGCCAAGGTCAAAGCCCATCTGCAGAGGGCACATTTTGCCAGGACATCCAACACAAACAGACACGGGGGGGGAAGAAGAAGGAGGGGGGGGAAAAAAGCCAGGAGCATGCTCCCAAACCCCTCCTGAGGCTGCATCCAGAGCATCCACCCCAGCTTGGCCTCGCAGCTCCCTTTCATGCCCTGCCAGCCCCCCAGGCTCTCCAGCAGATGCTGTGTGTGCATGGAGCTGCAGCCTGGCTCTGCCAAAGCTGGGGGACGGCACAAGGCTGGGCCAGCTCGTAAAAAAAAAAACAAAAAAAACAAAACACAAAAAAAAAAACCCAAAAAAACAAACCACGAGCATCTGCACTTTGCCACTCGCACAGCTGTGACAGCAGGGCCTGGAGAACTGGAGGTGGTGGGGGGAAAGGGAAATGAGTCCATCACGCTACTGCAGGAGCTGCCACTGACCTTGCAGGGAGCCTTCCTCCAGCTTCAGGGAACGAACTGAGAGGACTGAATAGGAAATTTCATCTCTCTCAGCGTTTTCCTTTAAACTTGTCCAGCAAAGCTAAACACAGAGGAGCATCTGAAAGCCCTCAAGAGGAGAAATCAATCCTTTGCTTTCCAAGCAAGTGCCTACAGATCTTGTTTGGAGAGTCATCTGCTCATTTTCTCTTTATTCCATCAGAAGGGTTGTTCCTCCAGCAGTCCTAAGCTCTGAGAGGACAGCCCACAATCCTCTCCATGAGGATCCACTGGATCTACCCTGCCCTGGACTAAAACATGAAAGCACCCACCAAGCCCACGCTCTCCCATTAAATCCTGCCTCCACTTCCAGCAGTGCTCCCTGTCACGGATGCTTCAACAGTATTGACCCCAAAGTCTGTTTTTATCATGCATTTTAAGAAAATTTGGAAAATATTTCTCCTCAGGCACCCTGTGAGCAGGAACTGCCATCCTTCCCATCCCTCTCACCGAGGCACAGGGAGGTGCCCTGAATAAAGGCAAGATGCAGTTGTGGCTTTTCCCCCAAACACATGAATCCCTACATAAGATGAGTAGGCAGTAGTGAAAAGCCATTTTTCCTACCCATCTGAAATTTCAAACTGAGAGGCCATCTGGGATCTCTTCTTCTCCTGCACTCTGTAACAGGAGCTGACATTTATCCAGTGACAAAGAAGGAGCATCATCATAGACTTAAGGGCATCAGATCAGCCTTTGGAATTCTGCTGCCCAACCCATCCCCAGGAACAAGCTGCCCAGGGAAAGGGTTCACATCCCACCCTGGAAACACTCAAAGCCAGGCTGGATGGGCATTTCAGCAACCTGATGCTGTTGAAGATGTCCCTGCCCATGACAGGAGGATTGAAACTACATGGTCTTGAGGATTCCCTACAACCTAAACTGTTCCATGACTCTTCTCCAAAGCACTTCAGAACTTTTTGCAGGAGTTCCTTAACAGATCATGGAATGGTTTGGGTTGGGAGGGATCTTAAGGATGATCCAGACCAAGCCCCTGCCACGGGCAGGAACACCTTCCACTATCCCAGGCTGCTCCAAGCCCCATCCAACCTGGCCTTGGACAATTCCAGGGGTCCAGGGACAGCCACAGCTGCTCTGGAAAACCCAGAACCATCAGCAAGTTCAGCTTTTCCACCAGGTTTTACCATGTCACAGTGACAGACAGGACATGGCCTGTTAGACAGCCACAGCAGATGTGATTAGAAGTTGGTAATTAACTCATGATGCACACAGCAGAGCAGCTTCTCTTGCTGCACAGCCCAGCTCTGGAGGGACATCCTGAGGAAAAAAACTTACTCTGTCAATGTACAGGCATTTGGAGACAACCCAACAGCAGATCTCTTCACTGAAAGAGACTTTTTTTTGTTTGTTTGTTTGTTGTGAACCACTGGTTGCCAGTGCAGGACCTCACACTGGGCATCTGTCCTACCATACAATTTGCATGACAGATGCTCTTTAGTCTTTCCAATTGTTGAAACAAAGTGGGTACTGAAAGAGGGCCTTTGAGGCCAGCAGGGGCTTCAAATATAGTCAATGTTGAGCTAATTCTGCAGGGCAGTGTCTCCAGCTTCCTCCACCCCCTCCATATTTATGTTACAGCCATTCAGATCCATTTTTGCTGACTGTGTCCTTGCCCTCCCTCTGCCCTCTGCAGAATTTCATTAATCCCGCTTTGCTAGCTGGGGGGGACAAACATTCCCTTATTTTTATTTAATTCCTCCCCTCTCTCCCCTTGGCTTCAAATCACCCTCATGGATCTCTCTCAGGTATCCACACATAACATCCTTCAGTGTGACCCAGGGAGAGGCAACATTCTGGGGCCAAATGCTTCTGCTAGATCTTAAGTCCTGGTACCAAACTGGCACCATTGGAGCACACTGAGCATCTGGCACCTGATTGCTGAGGACCAGGAGCCCAGCCTAGGACCAGAAGGCATCTCACCATCATCACCACACTGCAAAACCTCCTCTAGGGAAGACACAGCCCTTGAAGGCAGCAGGGTCAGCAGCCAGAGCTGCCAAAATAGAGTTCAAGTCGCCCTGGGGTGACTCAGTTATCGAGGAAAGCTGGGGACAGATCTCAGCATCTTCCTCACCCAGCACCAACTTGCTCTGCACAGCATGGGCAAGAAGGCTCTTCCCAGCACATGAGCTCTGGGGTGATGCCTAAATGCTCCAAAGCACCAGCAAGAATGGCTGTGAGGAAGCCACCCAGGCTCCAGCTGCCTCCTCTCCCCACACAATCTACCATCAGCAGAGACACGCTCCAAGGAGTTCGTCAAAGAGGGAATTGGAAAGAATAACATGCTCAACTCTTATTTACCTGGGTGGGAGTTTGGCACTTCATGCCATCAGTCCTCTCAGAAATTCCAGCTTAACTGCTACAATGAAAAGGAAATATTTTTCTACACTGGGGTTATTAGATGTTGCCATAGTGGCATGCGTGGGTGTGCACTTCGATACTAGTTAAAGGCCCAGATCTGCAAAGATGCACATAAATCACTTGACTCCCATGAAAACAGCAAGAACAGTCATAAAATGACCCAAGAGCTGAGATCAGATCCACCCAGACAACTTCACTGTGTGCTACTGAGGCGTAAAAGAGGGAGAAAGAAAAAGAAAAGACACATAAAAATTTTATTTCACCTCATGATGTTTCTGCATCAAGCATGTTTTTCTGTGCTGATGTAACACTTACTGAACACTTACTAACACTTACTTACTCTCCTTGACTCCTCACAGCTGTGATGGAGGGATGTGGATGCTGGCTGGGGCTCCCCATGCTCAGCCTGGTGTCCCTGTCTCCCCTCGGGGCAACAGCAGGGATCTGACCACTCACTCCAACAACTGTGATGCCTTTCCCACCCAAATCCTTCTGGTCTTCTTGGCCTCTTCGCCCACCTTCCCAAACAGCTGCAAAACAAATCAGCAAGTGATGCACGAGCAAAGAGGTGAGGCTGGTCATGGAGACCAGGGGTTTAAGTAATAGAAAGGTGGGAGGCACAAACACATCTTTTCATGGGATTGAGTGGGTGGGGAGGAGGGAAGAGGTTTTGTTGAGAGACTTGAAGGCTGCCCACCCCTTACCTTCCACTTTTGGGTTCTGTCATTGCAACCTGGTCTAGCGGAAAGCGTCCCTACCCACGGCAGGGGCTATGTGATCCTTAAGATCCCTTCCAACATAAACTATTGTAGGATCCTAGAATGGCTGGAAAAGACCATGGGAAGCTGCTGTAGGGAGGAAGTTCTTGACCCTCCCTATGTCACTGCCCAACTTCCATGGCAGCCCTGTGGCTGTGGCTCAGTCCATGTGTGCAGGGGCACTCAGCTGCCAGGGGTCTGCAGGCACACAGACAACCTCCCACCCATCAGCACTTACACAGGGGCTCCGTGACAGCCACATGGCACACAGCAAGGTTGTCACCAGCACATGGTATCTCATTTGGCACTAAATCCCCCCGTATAAAGAAAATGTGTTAAAAAAAAAAAATTAAAATTGTACGGCAGCATCCCCAGGCCAGCTCCCTGCTGCAGCTGCTCTGGCACCAACAGCCCTCACAATAAAAGCTTCTGAGTCTTAGTTTTATATTTTTCCCAAAGTGATGCTGGCTTATCTACTCCCTCCCACCCTACAAGCACCCAAGCGACACCTTACACACTCATCCCCTCCCATGGCCTCCACAGCTCCTCCATGAGCTCTTTATGCAGGAACAATTAAGCCCTGCTCAACTTTTCCATTAACCCAAGCAGCCCTTAGTCATGTCTAACGAACTCACAAGTTGCTGTGTTTTTTAATTTGATTCAAGACTCGCGTCTGCCCGGCTCAGACACATGCAAAAGGTCCAGTCCCTCAGTGCCTCGCAGTCAAACACCAGTGAGGCAGCTCCCTGTCCCTGCTCTGCAGAAGCTGGATGACTACAT